GCTGCGAGTTGGCAGCTTGGGGCAGTCCTAGGTCTCTGGGCCGGTCGAGCCTGTGCCCGTCGAGCAATTCAGCACGCCCTCTGATGATTCAGAAAGAAGAAGTCTGCGCTTCCCCCTCCCCCTGCCACTCCTCCCCCTTATCCTGATCCTCTGGCCACTGGCCCAACTCCTCCTCCTGCTCCCCGCCCCCCCCCCCCCGCCTCGCCCAATCGATCAATCGCCCCGCGGCTGCACGGGCAGCTTCAACTGGAGGGCGAAGCGCGGCGATGCCGCGACGTGCCTGGAAATGCCTCGCGGGATGAGGCGAGGCGGGGCGCGAGGGGGATGGCGAGGGTGGGCGAGGAGCGGGGGTCGAGTAGGGCGAGTGGCACGAACGCAGCAACACATCCACGCAACGCGCCAAACATGGCAGGCATCAAACATCAAACTGGCGACAAGTTTCCATTCCTTACAACATTCCCCAGGGGATCTTGAAAGTTGCGGCAGCTGCGCAGACGGCAGCACCCAGGTAGGCGAGGTCCCACCTCGATCTGGATCGGACCGCACTCTCCCCTGCTGGCCCCCCTCCCCGCGAACTCGCGAAAAGGGCGACAGTCGGGCAGTCGGCAGCGCCCAGGAAGGGGATGTGCCTGGGAGAGGAGAAGTAGCAGCAGCAACAGGATAGAGGGACACGAGGGAAATAATTTATAAGCTAGGCTGGGGAAGGGGGGTAAGTGTGTCCGTCCCTGCGACGGGCAGCCCTCAGGGGAAACCACTGCGCGTGTCTTGCGCAACCTGCGCCGGCGAGATCTCACACGCGTGCAGAGGAGATGCATGGTGCCAACAAGAGTTCGGCCCACTAGGCCCGTCTTTGCCCGCCGCCTGGCCCTTGAACTGCGGGGGGCTGCGTTTGTCTGCAATCAGCCCTGAGTTGTTCCGACTAGCCTCGCTGCTCTGGACTTCTGGACCCCCGTCCGATCGCCAGCGGCCCCAGGCAAGCCCGACTAGCTCCAGACAGTGATTGCGCCAAGCGAGTATTGTGGCAGGCGCGGCTTTCATTCGAGCACCGAGCGATGGTCCCATGTGCCCATTCCGCATGCTGGCATGCTGCATGCTCGGCCCTGGTCTTCCGATGCAAATGCCCCCCTCTCTACTCATTCTGTCGGCCGATGCGGTGTCGGTTTGGCCGCGGGGCCCCCTACGCTCACTTCCTCGAGGAGCTGGCGTCCAGCTTTCCAAGCCGCGCCTGGCTGTGGCGACGAGGGGCCCCCACAATGGCCAGAAAATTTCAAACCTCAATCCTAGTGACTCCCCTTGTCCAACCTACCGCCCCTCCCTCGCCCATTGGGCCCCCCTATGCCTATAGCAATTTTTGCTGAGAGATGCCATTCAGCGCTGCGCCACCCGCGGCCCCTCCAGGCTCGCTGGCCCCCCAAGGCTTGCCACTGCGCGAGCATGGAGTTGGATGCCATGTCCGAGGGCTCGGGCTCAGAGTATCACAGCTCGAATCACGACGGGGCGCCCCAGGAGGCGGCTGAGGATGAGACCCAGGAGATGGCGGGCAAAACAGGAGCTGGTGACGAACTGCCCTATGACACGAGCGAGGTGTTCCAGTGCGATGGCTGCTCCCTCACCTCGTCGTCCCAGTGCCCCATCGGTGCGAAGATGGACAAGATCCAGATCTGCACGTGGGGGAAGACGAAGAGGGTAAACAAGAGAGGCCTGATCTACAAGAAGCCCCAGGGGTCCTGGTGCGGCATCTGTGTGTCCTTGTTCAGGGTCCGCTTCAAAAAGCTGTGGAATATCAAGAAGATCAGCCTCGTCAGGAAGAAATTCAAGGAGGAGAAAGGTAACAAACGGAAATGGAAGGCTGGCTACAAAGAGTACGTAAACCTGCGGGCAGGCGGAACCAGCCGGGTCAGAAAGATGAAGAAAATCGTTTCCAAGGACGAGGAGGTCTATAATGAGTTGGAGGACCCAGAGAAAGAGTTTTGGGAGCTCAGCGCTTACACGTCAGAGTTTGGGGACCCCCCAAAAAATGGAGCCAAAATCATCCAGATGAAGAACAGCGCTGGCAAGGTTGTCAGAGGCGTGGCCGTGGTGAAGGGCCGCAAGGGGGTGTACAAGATCAGGTCGGGCAGGAGGGCCACTAACAAGTCTTCGGAGATTCGCGACTCTGGCGACATGGTGCTCGACGCAGAGCAGCAGGAGGAGGCTGCTAATGAAGTGGCGGAGGAGATGAACGCCGAGGCTGACCACCGCGGCGCCCTCACCCTCGAGGAGACTCAGACTCGCGCGGAGGCCCAGAAGGCTGCCGCGCTGGAGGTCCAGCAGGGGGCCTTCCCTGACACCGCCGACGGGGGCAAGGTATCGTCGGACAGCGAGGGCAGCGACGACAGCGACGACAGCTCTGAGGAGGGCGACGGCAGCAGCGACGAGGATTCCGACCGCCCGCCCAAGAAAAAAGCGAAGCAGAATGCAAGTGGGGGAAGCCGCAAGGCTCCCGCCGCAGCCAGCGCGGCGGCCTCCGTGGTCGCTGACGGTGAGTGTGAGGCTGAGTTTCACACGCCCACCCCGAAGAAGCCAATGGGCAGCCGCGCTGCCTCGGTGGCATCAGGTTCACTTGGCCCTGCGAAGAAGATGAAGAAGGACTCTTCCGAATTGACGGGCGGCCACCAGAAGACGCTGGAGGCCTTGTCGAACCTCTTCGAGCAGATCCCGACCAAGCTGACGAACGGGGACTTCGACGATACGAATGGCAGGGCACTGCAGCGCATGGTGGGCGATTGGCACACGAAGAAGCGCAGCGGCCAGGCAGCTGTGAACCATTTGCTGAAGCAGACTGATGATGAGGAGTGTCGGCGCGTGTTGTCCCGTTTTCGGAACGCCTCTGACAACATCGACCCCGTCGCGGGTTACCTGAGGGTCTTCAACTTGCCGGGGCAGGCGAAGGCGACATTCCAGTCTATGCACACCGAGTGGACCAACATCAAGAAGCTGACCCAGCCCCCCGCGAGGGGTGCCACGGCCATGTTGCAGAAGCTGAGCAAGGAGAAGACTGACGCGACGCCGTCGGCCATCTCCGAGATCCTGGACATCATGAGCCCGACCCCTAAAGCCGACCAGGTCACCACCCATGTGGTTCGCGCGGCTGACAGGGCGGCTCTTCACAAGGATATCATCGCCAACCTGATTGGAAAGATTTGCAAGCGGCGCCCATTCGACGTGAGGAAGGACGCGGAGAACGCAGAGAAGGTCAGGTTCGAGATCGAGACGGAGATGACCGAGCTGCGCGGGAAGATCAACGATGTGGCCTTCGCGAATGCCCTGGGGCCCCAGATCATCCAGAGATTCTCGCCGTGGCCCACTACGCTGAGGAGAGCGACGAGCAGCTGAGGATCGCCCTGGGCGCGTGGTCCAACAAGGCGCCGGACAGCATCCTGGCCCAGGCGGCGCACAGCAAGGTCGGGGGCGCGTTCTTGAAGGACGCTGCGGAATACTTGGCAGGCTCCAGGGCTAGGCTTTGCTTAAAATAAGCCCCTCCCTTAACTTAGACTCCTTACCATCCTCTCACCCTTATCCACCCTCGCCCGCCCTCCTCCACCTCCTCTCTCGCTTCGCCTCCTCGTCGTCGTCGTTGTCGTCGTCCTTCTCCTCCTCGTCCTCCTCGTGCCCTCTCCTCGCTCCCCATGCTTCTCGCTCCCAGGGCTCTCCATCATCCTCTCATCCTCCCCCTCCTCCTCCCCCTCCTCCCCCTCCCCAGTTCCCTGCTGTCCCGTCGGAGTGCCTGGCCCACAGAGCGCTCCGCTGCCATGGGGGCCTTCGCCTGGCGGGCGACGGGGTCGTCGTCGTCGTCGTCGGCGGCATCGCCATCGTCGTCGTCGCCGTGAGGAAGGGTCCAAGGGTCAGGACCCTCAGAGGTTTCCAGAGAGCGTCGCGGGCCCCCGGCCTTCTCAGGGCCTGAGTGAGGTCGTCCTGCACCGCCCCCCATGGATGGGTCCATTTGGTTTCTCGGAGCTCCGACTCATCGAAGCGAATCGGGTTGCATCCCTTGGCCGATTTAGACACCATCCAGCAATCCTCCTTCTCTGTCCTCCACCTCCTCTCGCACCGCCGCCTGTCTAACGTCGGTGGCCTGTCTCGCCCTGGGCCCATATGTGGCCCACGCCGTATCCACCCTGGCGGTGCGATGGGGCCTTGGGAACCCCGTGGGCCCGCGCGAGCGGTGCTCGCCCTGGCTGGCCAGCGAGATAGCTCCTGCGATCGATCCAGCGAGTGGCGAGCGATGAGGATAGATCCGATTGTCGATCGTCGCCTGGACCAATCGCGCGGGATTCGGCTTCCGGCCCTGATTTCCCACCGAGGCTGAGCGCCCTGATGTTGATTGCGACGACTTCTGTGGTCCAGGATCATCAGGGGCCATGGGCCATGGGGGGGGCGACTGGCCGTCGATACGTCGATACTCGATACCTCGATACCTGCGCCACCTACATTCACCCTCTCAGAGCCCTGCACGGAGCCTCCATCGGAACCAGACAGTACGTGGGATCCGCCGTGGCCATCGCCACTTTCGCCACCATCATTCACCATCATTCAGCATCCAGAGCCCCGCACGGATTGGCGCACGGAGCTTCTCCCGGAACCCGACGTGGAAGTGGAGAACGAGGGCCCGCCTCCCACTGTGATCGATTCCCCCATTGACAGCCCTCGCTGCCACGGATCGTTGCCCTTGCTGGTTGCGCCGCCAACGATCGATGGTCTGGGCCCGAGCCGCAGCGGGAGCCCGCCGCGGACCCCGCCCCTGTGGCTTCGATTGCTTCGACGCCGCGACCCGCTGCCGTCGACCAGCCGGCCATCCCCCGCCCGCACCTCCTCCCTCCTCCCTGCCCTTGCCCCTCCCTCCTCCCCAGCGTCTCTGGGCCCCTCGCCCCGCCCTCGTGCACCCCCCCTCCTCCACTTGGCCTTTTGCCATCCTCGCAGGCACGGTCGCGCGCCAGGGGCAGCGGCGGCGCCCCCTGGAGATGAAGGTTACAATGGATAAGCTCCTGAGCAACATGCGCCTCAACGACGTCGCGCGGTTGGCCCCCAACCAGTCGGAGCCGCACCTCCCAGCGATCTTGCTGGTGCCGACCGCTGACTTATTCGACTTCGATGGCTCCATGAAGAAAGCGCAGGAGGCCGCGGCCGCCCTTCACGACGTCTGCTCCCAGCTGCGCTCGGACCATGAGAAGTACGCCGACGACGTGAGTCACATGGTTCACTGCCTTGACCTCTGGAGCAAGAGGATGGCCGCGGCCCTCGTCTTCTGGTGCGTCGCCGAGTTCTCGCGCTCGGCTCGCGCCACGAACCTAGTGGGGGACAAGAACAAGGCCTTGCAGTTGGGCGACCTCTCTGCCAAGCTGGATAGGTTCAGGGCGGTCCGCGCGGAGTTGGACATGAAAGCTCAGATCGCTGTGAAGAGCGCCCAGGGCTCGGCGGGCGAGATCGCCCCGCAGTCGGACCTCAAGGTGCTGGCCCAGTTCGTGGAGGTGGTGAAGAAGACAACGCCGGGGGAGCCCTTCTGCGAGGGCCACAAGTCGACGGCGCAGGCATGCTTCGCCTTCTTCGCGCAGGTGGGCTCGTGCTGTTCCCAAGCTCACTCCGACCAAATCAATGACCTCGTCGCCAGCGCGGCAGCAATAGTGGAGACGGCCAAGGTCGACCTCGTCACTGAGTCCACATCGAGGGTGGAGGAGGACACCGCGGAGGGCATGCAGATGTGCTGCTCGATGATCGGTGCCGGGGTGCACCTGGGCACGAAGGCGGGTGCGTTGAAGGGCTCGGCGATCGCGTACATGGAGGACATGTGGAATCGGCGCTCGGGCAATGATATGCCCATTACCCAGGTCGAGCTGGGCGCCTTCATGAACGAGGAGCTGACAATCGATGGCAGCATTATGAACAAGGTGGTCAGTACCAACGTAGTGGAGGCGACCGCCGCTTTCGATCAGATCCTGGGCGTTTGCCAGACCATGAAGAACCTGGGCAAGCCCATCGCTGACAGCCAGGCGAATGAGGACGAGGCCAAGGTCTGCCTCAAGGCTTTGCCTGTGATGGTCAACGTCGCCGCCTTCTCGAAGGAGACTCCCTCGGCGAATGGCTCGACCTACATCGCGGCGGCGGGCCAGGTCCTGAAAGACATCGAAGTCAACGCGGGGCCGCTGTCGAGCATGCCAGAGGGCGGGGTCCTCGGCCAGCGGCTGCAGCTCTTCAAGATCAAGATGGCTGAGGAGATTTCCAAGCACATCGGGGAGATCACTGTCCAGTTCACGGGGGTCTGCGACGAGATGGACAAGTACCTGCTGCACGTGGGCAGCACCTTCAAGAAATGGGACGAGGAGGCGGCGACCAATTTCGTGAACTTCGAGGGCAGGCAGAGCCTCAAGGACGGCATCAAGAAGATCAACGACAACCAGGGCCGCATAATGGAGTGGGCGACTGGCTTCAAGGGCACCGCCGTGGACGTCTCGGATCTCGAGGCGACGGCGACGCGGGCGGATACGGCCAGGAAGAAGGCCCGGTACCAGATCGCCGTCCGCGGCGCCGTGGCGATAATCCAGGAGAGGGCCGTCTCAAAAGCTGCCAGCTACATCGCAGACTTGAAGAACAAGCTCAAGATCTGGGGGTCCATGCCCGCCTTGGTCAAGCAGAAGCTCCAGGCCCTGGAGGAGAAGGCGGAGCAGCCAGCGGGCTCGGGGGAGCCTGACGCCGGCGGAGGCGCGGAGGCTGCAGGCGGCGAGGCCGCAGCTTGAAGTGCCAGCCGGGCGGCTGGCGCGAGCCGCTTCCTCCTTCTTCCTCCCCGCGCTCTTTTGCCATCCATCCCCCCCCCCTCACTTTCGCCGCGGCCAGACGTCCAGGCCAGGGCGTAGCCGCCGTCAGGCCCGATTGCCCAGCCGACATGCCGCCGTCGTCCTCCAGCACGTCTCGGTGCTTTGCCCCCTCCCCCGTCCTCTGAACTTCAGCAACTACGCATCTCATCTCCCACCTCCTCCCCCACCCCAGCGGCGAGCGGCGGCAGCGCCACATTTCAAGAGTTCAGGCCTGCTGAAGCCAGCAGCGGGGCTGGCGGGCGCAGGCCAGCGGGGTGCTCGAGCGCGCTCGAGCCAGCCTTTGGCACAACACGGGGGAGAACAACATAGAGAGGAAACGAACACGCATCCTCACAAGACGCCTCGAGCTTGAAACAAAACACAACGACAAAATATCAGACACGCCCTGAAAACGCGGGGTTAGGGTAGGGCCTGAGCTCTCGACCCCATCGCATCTCAACTTGTTGTTCGTGCTGGGTCGATCCGCGAAAGGCCTCAGTGGCCATCGGGGCTCCTCCTGGACGGGCGGTAAGGGAGATGCTCATTTGATAAAAGGGGGAGGCAGGAGGAGGTGGAGGCGAGGGAGAGGTGGGTCTGTAATGTGCGCATTGGCCCAGGCTTTCCTCTGTGTGCCCGTTCACCCCTCGCGGACCCTGGAACCCTTCCTGCGCCGCGCGTCTCCAGGGCCGATGGCCGTCCAGGATGATCAGTCTAAGATTCCCCCGGACAACGACGACAGTCGCTTCGACGTCTTGCCGACTCGTGTGGAGGACCGATGGAACGAAATGAAGCGTCGGGTCTTGCGCCTGGCGTTCAAGAGGAGGCCATCGGGGGGCCTAACGACGCGCATCGCGCGGCGGCATGCGCGCGCGGCGTCCCCTGTCCCTTTCTCTCGCCGCGCCTTCCCTGAGAATGGGGGCGGGTGGGAAGGGAGGGGGGCGCCGGGCACGCATGCCAGCCGCGCTGTTGTGCGCTGTTGGGCCCTGCCCAGGCTCTGGGGTGTTCTGGGCGGCTGGCTGAAGCAGATCAAGGCTTATGTCCTCGTCCCCCTCCACCCCCTCCTTACGCTCCACCCCCTCCTTACGCTCCACCTCCTCCCCTCCCCCTCCCCCTCCCCATCCTCATCCTCCTCCTCCTCCTCCCCCTCCTCCCTCGCAGGCGCGTGGAGAGGGCCTCCCCTGAGAGCGCGCGGCCGCGGCCGTGAGCTAGGATGGGGGGAAACGATGAGGGGGGGGCGGAGGGGGGATGGAGGGAGGGAGGGAGGGGGATGGACGGATAGCCTGGGATAGCGAGCGATCTGGGATGAAAAACTGCGACCTGGGGGCCACGACACCTCGCGTCGTCGTCGTCCTCGCTGCCGTCGTCGTCGTCGTCCACCTCTTTCGTTTCGCCACTTCCCCCCCTTTCTCACTCGTATCCTGGGTCCTACCTCCCCCCCTCCTCCCCCTCCCCGTCCCCCCCCTTCCATCATCCTTCTGCTCCTCCTCCTCGCCCACCCTGGGTACTCCTCCTCCTCCTCCTCCTCCTCGTTCTGCTTGGCTTGCTGGGGCGACGACGGGGCGGTGGCGACGACGTGGCGGCGGCCGCGCCCGCCCCCGCCCGCCGCTGCCGCCCGTCCCCCCGCCCGCCGCCGCACCCACGCGCGCTCTCTTGCTCTGAGAGAGGCGGTGGGGAGAGAGGTAGGTCGAGGAGGAGGAGAGGAGGATGAGGAGGAGGAGGAGGAGGAGAGAGAGAAGGAGGAGAGCAGGGGAGGAGGAGGAGGAGGAGGAGGAGGAAGAGGAGGAGGCGGAGGAGGAGGAGGAGGAGGAGGAGGCGGAGGAGAGGAGGAGGAAGAGAGGCCCCCTGGCGCGGGCCAGGTGGCGGTGGTGCTGTCCAAGTTATGGCCCCGAAGGGGCCATAACTCGGGATGGGGAGGGGGGGGGCAGAGGAGGAGGGGGAGAGGAGCAGGGGGGGCAAGGCTGGGGAGGTGTGATGAGGAGTAGGAGGAAAGAGGGGAGGAGTAGGAGGAGGAGCAGGAGGAGGAGGAGGAATAGGAGGAGGAGGAGAGGAGGAGGAGGAGGAGGAGGAGGAGGAGGAGGAGGGGGAGGCCGGGATAGGCTGACGGGCTTCCAGAAAGGGGGCAGAGGACGCGTGGCCTCCTCGCCACCGTCGCGGCCCTCCTCTCGCGCGTTCGTGTGCGTGTGTGTGTGTGTGCGTGTGTGTAATTGTTGACGCTTCGCGTATCCCCACCAGCCCATCCAGAAACGATGCTCAGGGGAGTTGAGGTGATCAGGGAAGTCGGGGAGCATGCAGAATAACAAAGGGCGGGGGAAGCTGTCACAGACCCCGAGAGGGGGAGGATGGAAGAGGAGTCGTCGTCGTCGTCGTCGTCGTCGGAGGAGGAGGAGGAGGAGGAGGAGGGGGAAGAGGAGGAGGAGGAGGAGGAGGAGGAGGACGGAGAAGGAGGAAGAATCGGAGGAGGAGGAGGAGGAGGGGAAGGAGCTTCTTGGGGGTCTTTTGAGGGCCTCTTGGAGGGCTTTTTGGGCGCCTTGGGGCATCTTGGGCGCCTCTTGGGACCCTCTTGAGGCGCTCTGGGGAGCCTTCGGGGCGCTTTTGGGGCCATCTTGGAGGGAGTCGATCAAACAAGAGGGGGGGTTTAATTAGCGTCCCCCCTCGGAAGCCCCTAAAATCGCCTCTTGGACCCCTCTTGGAACGCTCTTGGAGTGCTCTTGGGCGCTCTTGGGGCCGTCTTGGGGCTCTTTTGGGGCTCTCTTGGGGCCCTCTTGGGCCATCTTGGAGCCATCTCCAGGCCTCGGATGGCCATCGGAAGCGAAAAGGCGAGAAAGCAAAAATCATTGATTTTCCTTAGGTTTTGGGACGATTTTGGCCTCTTCGGGGCCTCCTTGGGGAGCTGTTTGGCCACTTGGAGTTATCTTGGGGCCGTCTTTGGGCTTCTTGGAACCATCTTAGGAGCCATCGTGAGCGATCTTGCGCTATCTTGAGCCATCTTGGAGCTCATCTTGGGTTCTCTGAGGCGCTCTTGGAGCCGTCTTGGGCCATCTTGGACGCTCTAACTACCCGCGGCCCCCCCGTCCAGGTCCAGGGGAGGGGGTAGGGGGAGGGGTAAACCCCTCCCCAAGGGGGAAGAGGGAGGGGTGGAAGAGGATCTGCTCTAGACCACCTACGCCCAGAGGGCTGGTGGGATTATATATAAAAATATATAATTAGATACATTGTACTACTCATTACGAACAGAATACACAGTATAATAAGTATAAATATACGATATACACTGTGATGTTATTAGGATTATTCAGCAACTTTCGAATTTGAAATTCGCAATTTTAAGCTACTTTCGAGTTTCGCTCGAGCCATTTCCAGCGACTTTCGAGTTTCATTCGCGCCATGGCGAGCGACTTTCGGGTTTCGCTCGCACCGTCTCGAAGGATTTTCGGGTTTCACTCGCGCTGTTTCAGGCGATTTTCGAGTTCGCGTGGAGTCGTTAGTGTTCGCTTTGAGTTTTGTGACCCTGGCGGGGGTCGTTTCGGGCCAAACAGTCTTAAAAGGAGAATCATTTAGCTAACACATACACATACACATACACATACACACACATACACACATACACACATACACACACACACTCATGCATCTTGATGGACGCACAGGTACAGGAAAACACGCAGGTAGAGAGGAATATAGCTACAGAGAGAGAAGGAGAGAGAGAGAGAGAGAGAGGGAGAGAGAGTGAGAGGGAGAATCGCTGTATCCAACCCGCGCTGTGGTTCTGCCGCCTTTTGGCACGCTCGGCCCCCTTCGGAAGGCGAGTGGCGAGGGCGCCCGAACGCTCCAGGACTGTCCTCCTCCTGCCTCGGACCCTCGGACCTCTCTTGGCCTCGGCCCGGGCCTGCAGCCCGACACTCCGCAAAGTCGCCCCCCTCCACGTGCTCTCGGAGGAGGAGGAGGAGGAGGGCGGAGGAGGAGGAGGAGGAGGAGGAGGAGAGGAGGAGGAGGAGGAGGAGGAGGAGGAGGAGGAAGGTGGAGGAGGAGGAGGAGGAGGAGGAGGAGGAGGAGGAGGAGAGAAGGAGGAGGAGGAAGAGGAGGAGGAGGAGGAGGAGGAGGAGGAGGAGGAGGGAGGGAGGGAGGGAGGGAGGGAGGGAGGGAGGGAGGGAGGAGGGAGGGAGGGAGGGAGGGAGGGAGGGAGGGAGGAGGGAGGGAGGGAGGGAGGGAGGGAGGGAGGGAGGAGGGAGGAGGGAGGGAGGGAGGGAGGAGGAGGGAGGAGAGGAGGAGGAGGAGGAGGAGGAGGAGGAGGGAGGAGGAGAGGGGGAGGAGGGAGGGAGGAGGAGGAGGAGAGGAGGAGGAGGAGGAGAGGAGGAGGAGGGCGAAGGAGGAGGAGAGGAGGAGGAGGAGGAGGAGGAGGAGGGCGAAGGAGAGGAGGAGGAGGAGGAGGAGGAGGAGGAGGAGGGCGGCGGAGGAGGAGGAGGAGGAGGAGGAGGAGGAGGAGGAGGAGGAGGAGGAGGAGGAGGGCGGAGGAGCTCTTGGAGCTCTCGGAGGTCAGCGGCCCCCAAAATCCCCCGCGGGGGCCGGCAGGTAATTCGCTCGCGCGCGCCCAGCGCACCACTGGCGGCGATGGCCCCGGCCTGCGCGGCGGCAGGGCGGCAGGCGGCGGAGCGCTGGCGCGCCGGCGACGCCAGCGAAGGCGTTCAAGAGGTCGAGCTCCGCACGATGCAGGGACGCGGCAGCACCGAGGGACACGGCAGCGCCACAGGACCCGACGGGGTTCAGCCTCGAGCGATCGGGGCCGCGGTGAGCTCAGGGATAGTGTTTTTGCTACCCTGCTGGGCCCTCAGCGCGTCCCCGGCACTGCCGCAGCGCGTGCGGCACCACAGTCTCGGGGGGGGGCGCCACGGTACGCCCCCTCCCGCCCCCCCCTCCCCCCATGACGCCCGTTATGACCGCGGATC